AAGTCAGCTACTGGATTAAGAATTAATCTAAACGAAGTCAGCTACTGGATTAAGAATTAATCTAAACGAAGTCAGCTACTGGATTAAGAATTAATCTAAACCAAGTCAGCTACTGGATTAAGAATTAATCTAAACGAAGTCAGCTACTGGATTAAGAATTAATCTAAACGAAGTCAGCTACTGGATTAAGCTCAAAATTAACTGAATTTCTTAGGACAAGTTGCGCCAGAACTAATAATAACATTGAGCTATTTAACTTTTTTTAGCAAAAATAACTATCGGAACTATTTATAAAATACTTGAGCCAATTAAATTACTAACTATTTCTCATCATTAACATTTTAGCCTATCAATATTTCCCTAACAGAACAACAATTACGCAACCCCGAAAAAGTCTTAAATCATTATTTTGAGTGTTTTTTAAATCCCGACTATAATGATCTTGTGGCCGCAGCGCAAGCCCCAGACTAGAAATGAAAACCAATGCTTGATCCTTGTCTTCACAAAGCTTTAACCCAGAAGTCTTTCACTAGAACCAGAGCAAGAAATCAAACCAGTCATAATAAAACTTTCATTTAATCATTCCATTTGGTATAAGCATCAGAAATAAATCCATGAGTTATATTTTGAATTCAACTTTAACTAACTGAACAAGAACAAGATCAATTTATTGATTCAGAATATTTCTTGAGATAAAGTTGATGCGATTTGCCCATCTCTAATTAAGTATGACTGTAAACACTAAACAGTAAATCAATTTTCAACTAATCAATATTCAGCAATTCTGATAAAAAGGGTAAAAGCAAAAACATTTAGTCCACGAATATTTTAAAACACAGAGTGAGAACAATATGTGCTGAATTTACATGAAAACTGAAAAAAAAATTCTTTTCATAAAAATGGGTACTCTTTAAACCAGACACAGTGGTTTAAATAAATGGCCTACTAGTCAGATTTGGAATATTTTCTTCGTCTTTCTAAATTTGAAGTTTAACAGAAATACATTATGAGTGCAATGTGCATTGACGATATGTATGTACAATAGAATAAGTTAAAGAACAAAAATAGTAGAAAAAGTAGACAGTTTTTTTGTGTGAATTTAGTCCTACAACAAACCTTGACTTCGAAATAGTCGGTAACAAACCCTGTATTGGTATAATCTATCTCTTCATGAAAACGCATGTTAATTGCAGATAACAAGATATTGGTAACAATAATTTACAACTTTTAAAATCCAGCAATTTCTTTGAGTTCCGTCAATTTTATCATTTTAAATACTGATTCTGGAACTATCTATTAACAGCTAGTTTTAACTTTATAGTTAGTTCTTTATATTCATATTCAAAATACTGATTCTGGAACTATCTATTAACAGCTAGTTTTAACTTTATAGTTAGTTCTTTATATTCATATTCAAGTGTACTAAATTAATATATTTATTCCTGAAAAAAAATTAAAATTAGTATATGCCCATTGTCCAATTTATGCCAATTATTATTACAAGGTATTCATTTATTTTGTTTCCACTAAATGATCGGAAAAGACCTTTCAATTTGCCTGAAAGCCTTGGTTTTTATTCGCCAGTAAGAAGTCCTTTCTTTTCACCAGTAAGAAGCAGACCTTTCTTTTCATCAGTATTTCAGCCTTTATGAAAGTGGGTATCCCAGTGGTCTGTATATTTACCAAAATGGTTTCAGCTCAGCTCCAGTAGAAGAACTTCTTTGGCAACATGATGTCATCGCCTCTGCTCAGCTATCATGTGGATGTACTTATGCTTTAGAATAAGTAAGACTTTTCTCCCTCAAGATTGGTATTATTACTGACCTTTCACCCTCAGGGTGTAATTTATAACTGCTCATCTATGGCCTATTTTGAGCAGAATTCAAGTAGGCCTTACTATGCTGAAGATATTTTCTAGGCTTTTTATTTCAAAGAAATTGCCCAAAACTCCTTTTCTTTAACATATAAACATAAAATCTTGCCGCCTTTCATGTACAATTTTTTAATGGAATACATTCAGAATACATTCGTAATAATCCTGAAAAGTAAAAATTAATATGATTATGAGACATGAAAATAACAATTATTTAACTAAAAAACTAGCACATTTAATATTATGGTAAATATTATACAGTAGACTGCTGATGTATGTTTCAAAAGACAATTTCCATAAATGCACAATATACCAAGTGCAACTTTCAAATCTACGACTTTCTATTCAAGTGGCATCTATCCCACTGCGTTGGCTGCAGCGCATAGCCCCGAAGCGCATTCTATTCTAGTACCAGTGTTTACTGCACTGAATATGCCAAATCCTAACCTAACCTATCATCCTTATATATAAGCCTAAACTGACCTTTGTGGAAATGACATTAAAAAAAAAATGAAAATGTCACTTGGGATATTGCCATTATGAAAATTGCCACTTGGGAGTGATATTAATCTTTTCATCTCGATAGATTATGTTCAGATAGATATTTATGTATATGAATTGGATATTCATGCTGATCAACTTATCATTGAAAAGAGCATATGTCACAAAGCAAACACCCCCGATGTTTTCTGTGTACGCCCTTGATAAACGCTTCCTAAGAGTTTTCCATATAGTCCACATGCATGATTTCTTGAGGTATTATATTCACGAAAGTCTAATTTTGTTCATTTTCTGCACAAATTACTTTACACTACACCTTCCACAATTGTGGAAGTGGATACATCCACCAACTATCAAAACTGGTTTTAAACTCGGCCTTAAAGGGTCTGTAAGCGTAATTTCAAGATGGCAATGCCCGATTTACAACGGTATCATTAAAACCTTAATCTGATCAAAAAAGTGAAAGATAACATCGTGGTTTGAGTCGAAAATGTTTAACTCTGATAATTTTACCTGTTTCTTAAAGCAAGAAATTTGCAGAGAACCCACCATTGAAAATAAACTGTTTAAATAAACAAAAACATGGATTTAATTCATATTTGATGAGACAAAGCTTTCAAGGGTACCGATGTAAATCGGGCTTTGCTATCTTTTCATGGAGGGTTAATTTGATTTAACCCTAAAGAGTTTAAACTTCAGTTGAGTATAAATTACCTGATCCAGGATAACATTACGCCTCCTTGATGATGCAATTTTGAGAACATCTTGGAGTGCCTTGGTGATACGGTGGTGTACCTTCTCCCAAGCAAGCTAACAAACAAAAATTTAATCAGAAAAATTAGATAATTTAAACCTTTGGGAGTAGAAGTGATAAGTGAGGGAGCTGTTTAATTCTTTAATGGAGGGGAAAGAATAAAAAACGAGCTTTAAGCTTATAATATTTGTTTTTACAAAATTCATCCCCCTTTAAAAGCTAAACCTTACAATTAAACATTTAAAAAATAATCTTTTTCACTCTTTCATGTGCTTTATTTGTGATACAATTCAATATATTTCCATTCGTAAACACGGAGACTTAAAAAATCTTACAGTAGTATGGTTCTTCCTTGAATCTCCGTTGACAGTAGCTTTCTCCAAGTACAATGCCGCGTTTATAATCTCAAACTTCTTCTCAGGGTGCGCGGCAGCGTAGTTCTTGGCCCAGGTAGTCTTACCTATAGTATTTATCGGTTTTAAACTTAGATAAAGATAGATTGCGCATAAGACGACATTTTTCATCTTGAAAGATATATATGTACAGAGATGTTTTAAGGATATTCCTATTATATAGATTAACTAGGTCGGTTGTGAACATTGGCTGTTCTTATGTCTTGTTGTGTACACGAGTTCTGTAGAGAGAAATTTAATAAAACCAACACTGGTTACTGGAAGGGAGTCTTCACAGAAACAATATCGTACATAATGGGATTAACCGACTCATCAGGAAAGAAAATTGTAGAAGGAAGGAGAAAAACCACCCCGCTTATCATTGAAGTACACTTTGACCCCTAGAAGTGTGAGTTCGCGGACTGTTCAATTCTTGGTGATTTTGCGTACATAAGTAATCTATGTTTATTTATTTATCAATGGTTTTAAAGGAGTGTTTACAAAAATTATAAATAGGTCAGGGGTTTGTAAATGTAAGAATGATTTTTGAAAAATTACTAGTTTATTTTCCCACTTCAGCGAATGAGCCTCTAAAAACACGCTTATCTAACCTTTTTTGAAGGGGAGGTGGAGGGGGGGGGGTACAAAATTAACTGATTTTACTTTAATACCGATCAGTGTAAAGCTTACTTTCATCCGATGTTTTTGTGATTAGAGAATGCGAAAACATTCTTCTCTTGGATTAGCAAATTACTGCATTAGAATACTTAAAAATACTGTATAAAAATGAAAATATTCTCATTAAACTAGAATGCAAGCTCACCGACAGATGGGAGTCCGACCATCAGAATGAAGTGACATTCCTCTCGGGTCTTGATTCCAGAATCACCACGGATCAAAGTTTCAGCCTCACACTTAGCAATCTGTAAAAATATATAAAGTTTCAGTCTCACACTTATCAATCTGTAAAAATACAAGACATAAATATATAATCTTTAAAAATATATATAAACATATTATCTTAAAAAAGACATTGACGTAAAAAAAACGAAGAATTATCTATAAATATCAAAAAAAAATTGCGTCATGAAAAGTCACCTTAAGAATAACACGATAATGAATAAAAAGAAAAATATAAAATAAATAAAAAATAATAACGCACAATAAAAAAGTTAGTCATTAAAGAAAAATTTCATCTTGCTTTTTGATAAGTTTACCCAAAAAATTATATTTTCCCCTTAAAATCGGGTTTACCCCCAATTCAGCGAAGAAACCCCCAAAAAACCTAACTTCTGGTGGAAAATAATATTTAAAGCGGGAGGAGTAATGATTTTTCAAACAAATATAAACCACTGGTTGGATGGATAAATTACATTCACTAAAAGAAGGAAGAGTCACGTCAACGTATTTCGATGGAAAACTTACAAACCTGAGTGTAGCCTTCTAGTGCTTCCTTGAGAGGGGCGAGCTCAGTCCCGTCCTTTTTCTTGCCGAAGTTGCATTCAAACTTCACGTTTCTAAAAAAAACATCGATAAACATTGGACAATGGCGGATTTGTTTTTATAAATGCACGTCAGATTTTTGCAACTAGTTCCGGATCTATTTTCTCAGGGCGGATCCATGATCCGGTTCATTACAAACTCGATTGTAAATAAGATTTTTTAGAATTTTCATTCGGTCTTTCGTGTAAACATTTTGGCAGTCACATCAAACCAACTTCATCCGAATTTAATTTAATTCAAGAAATTATCGTGATATCTCCCCAATGTGGAATCCCCAGACCGCCATCGGATGTTAAGGGACTGTGCCCAAACCTACAAACAAAATCGCAATCCCATCCAATTCCATTCCAATTCCATCCCAATTCCATTCCAATTCCATCCCGATCAAATTTATCAAATTAATAAAATAATTCAAATTCTATCAAACTCCATCAAATTCCATTAAATTCCATTAAATTCCATTAAATTCCATTAAATTCCATCAAATTCCATTAAATCCCATCAAATTCCATAATCCAATTCTATTCAATTCCATCAAATTTCACAAATTCCATCCCATCCAATCCCATCTAATCCAATCGAATCTCCTACCTGGTCAGAATATGAGGAAACAAAGCCTCTCCTCCCAACTCTGCTCTTGGGAATGAGTAAGCCTCGCCCTGTACATTAGATATTATATTTAAATTTATAACTTTCTTAACTCTCGCCCTGTACGTTAGATATTATATTTTAATTTATAACTTTCTTAATTCTCGCCCTGTACATTAGATATTATATTTTTATTTATATTTTTCTGAATTCTCGCCCATTACATTAGATATTATATTTTAATTTATATTTTTCTTAATTCTCGCCCCGTACATTAGATATTATATTTTAATTTATAACTTTCTTAATTCTCGCCCTGTACAGTAGATATTATATATAACCCCTGATATAGTCACACGAGGGTTCCCAGAAATATTAAGGGTCCAAATAGCCAAATTGCAGATGTTGCAAAAATTTGTGAAAGGTTTACTAAAAAATAACAGTTTGAAATAAAAACTATACCGAACTATTTAAAATTAGACATTAATTTTTTTCATCCTTTATCTTTGTAAAGTACTACTAAACCGACTTCTAAGTAGCTAGAGCAAGCTGTACAGTACACACAATACACATTCAGAATATATAAGGCAAAAAGAGGCAGTATCCCAAATGAATCATCCTCTTCTAGTGAAACTTTTGTGTTACGACCTTTTATTCTTTGAAAATTTCTCTTAGTTGTATTCTCGGTAAATTAAGTATTGTAGTTCCTGTGAATGAAAAATAATTGTGAGAATGAGAATCAACACATTTATAAATCATTAAATCTTTTATACACCGCATTAGAAATTTTATGTACATTCAGTTGAAAAAGTGTATTCTTCACTATAAAAAGGTAAGGAAGGAATTGTTTTTATCTGGGTATGATTTTTGACGATTTTAACAAATTTGACTTTACTTACACCTTTTTTTCATTTTTTTCCCCTTCTCCCCCTTTTTCATATTATACTGAGAGAAAATTATTTTTGAAAACAATTGACACGGTTTTTTATTGTAAAATGAACCTGAGTTTCTCCGTTCTTGGTAAAGATCATCGTGACCATCTCCTCCCCCATATCAAGGTATGCTCCGACCACGTCCCCACGCTCGAACTTGGCTCCGTACTCAAGGAACTCCTTGTTACTCGCCTTTTTACCTTCAGCACTGGAGTAGCACCAGGACTTGTCATCTACAATTGTATCAATGAATCTAACTGTATATAAATATATAAAGCAATAATCAATAGTTATAAATTTATATATATATATAAAGTAGTAATCTTTGTTTGTTTGGATGTCAGATCATAAATCAGGAACCTCTGGACCGATTTGCCTCAGATTTTGATTGGGGAACTTAGGGAGACCCACGTGAATGTTCTTAGCCTGGTTTTGAGATTCTAAGTTGAATGCGTCTACTTTTACAGGAAAATGCAAAAATCGTAATTTTCGAAAATGCCCGGGTGGGACTTACAGGGGAAGGCTGGGTTTCCAAGTTAGTAAATATATTAAGTAGTAATCTTTGTATGTTTGTTTGGATGTCATATCATAAATCATGAACCCCTGGATTTGTCTATAATTTTGATTCGGGAACTCGGAAGAACCACGCTAATGTTCTTAAATTGGTTTAAAAAGTCTAACTTGAGTAGGTCGTAAGTACGGTATTTGTCATAAAGAATATTAAAAGATCGGAAAATTGTGTTCTATAAAATGCCTCAAGATTTAAGCTTTTTATATTTTTCATGATACGAAATAATGTCAAGAAAAAAATGTTTAAGGGTTGCGTCAATTTCTGTACCATCTTTCGAACCTTCGGACAAAACAACTGGAAAGTTTTTTTTCTTTTCTTGATTTATATTCTTGAACCCTCCAAAAACAGAAAATACCCATATATTTTAAAGTTGCAGAAAGACTATCAAATAAGACAAAGATAAAAAAGTAAGAATTTGATTTTTCTTACTTTCTCCGAGCTGCATAGAAGCTGCGTTAGTGCTCCAGCCAACTCTGAGATCAAGATGGAATCCGTCCTTATCCGTCCAGACCTTCATCGTATCCAGGTAGGTTACCTAACACACAATTATAGTTAGTGCTCTTTCAACCCTGAGATCTCCAATTAAGCTGCATGGATCCGGACACGCAATAACAGTTTTCATCCTTAGATCACAATACACAAGAGGAAGAAAACGTTTAAAGCGTCAGAAAATATCAGAGAACAGTATATTGATTTTTTCGTAGAAATTAACGGGAGAAAAATTGGGGGAAACAAAATTGTCTTGATAACAAGTTGAAAAGAATCCGTAACAAGATAAAATTGATCCGTAACAAGATGAAATCCTAACGTTATAAACATACCTCGAAGAATATTTTGCCTGAACTGATTCCATGGGTTGCTCTGCATCCAGCATACACCCAGCTCCAGCTCTCCTTGTTTAGCGGCATAGCGGACAGGAAATCATCATGACGAATCCTAGGATAGACAGTATGGAGGGGTATTTGATTTGAAGAATTGCCTCCCCTCTCGGGTCAGACTAAAGTACCTGGATAAATTTGCTATTTTCACACTTTGCGCATACAAATTCCATTAAATTCCATTAAATTCCATTAAATTCCATTAAATTCCATCAAATTCCATTAAATCCCATCAAATTTCATAATCCAATTCTATTCAATTCCATCAAATTTCACAAATTCCATCCCATCCAATCCCATCTAATCCAATCGAATCTCCTACCTGGTCAGAATATAGGGTGTTAAAGAATAGAAAAGAGAGAAGATGAAAAAGTGAATCTCAACTGACAATTTTGTTCTTATTTGATCCTTAGTCCTAAATTCCAATTATTCATGGGGAGGGGGGAATAATTTGTAAGAAATTTACAATCATAAAAGATAAATAGCCAGGGTTGAGCCTTCTTGATGTAAAAAAAATGCTGGGGGGAATAGTGATGCCGATAAGGTCTTACTGAGGCGTATTGTTTTGTTAAAAGAAAAAAACTAACAAGCTGGGTCTAGACTCGGATTTAATGAACAGCGACAGAACTAATCAACTAGTTTGTTAAACTACGTCTGTTGATTAATTTCAACCTCTAGATTCGCCCCCTATATAATAGTTTTAAATATACCTAAGATTGAGGTCTGAATTGAACCAGTCCAGGCAAACAAAATCGTCGGGCAACTCGGGCTCATCCTCCCTGCAGAAAACAATACATAAAAAATATGCCGGGATACATTTTTCTTAAGATAATTATGTTTTAATTCTGAAGAAACTTCTCTTAAAAGGACGATGCCCTTGAAACCTTTGTCTTATATATATGTCAATATTTTTTGTTACATTTAACTGTTTGTTTTCATTTGCGGTTTCTCCGCAAAATTGCGCTGTGCATTGCACAAGAAGCAACGGAGAAATTTACAGAATTTAACGCTATTTGAGTCGAAATTAACTTTCATATTTATTATCAGATTAAGGGTAACGTTGTGACGTCGGGCATTGCCATTTTTTCTTTCATTGAGAACCACTAAAAGTTACCCCCCCCCCCCCACAAACCTCTAAAATCTGACCTAATGTTCCATGGTTTGAGTTCCTCCGGTGAGAGTCCAGTTTCTCCAAACTTCCTTTTAACTCCTTTCTCCGGAGCTGCAGCTTTCTTAACCTCGGGAACTACAGGCTTCTCCTCCGTTCCCTCTTCTTTTACTCCGTTAGCCTGGAAGAGAGCAGATTAAAAAGGAGTTTTTAAAGGGACTGTAGAGGTAGTTTCATGTGAGACTTAAATGGTTGATTTAAAGCAAAACCTTTAAATTGTTTTAAGTGTACAAATTGTGAACTGAAAAAGAATGACAATTTTTAGAAAGACAATAAAGGAACTAGACAGAATTTCGTACGTTTAAGAAAATAAAAACAAAGAAAATCTCCGTTTAATTTCTTGATGGAGGCTTAAGTATGGCTTTGTGAATAGATTATGCTACAGTTTTTAATGGAACAGTCTCTTAAAGATTAACGCAAATAGAGGGAGAAACAAGACACAATTATAAAAGAGAGGGGCGCACTGCGCAGTTTACCTGATCACCATTCTGGTGTGCTGGTTCAACTGCTTCTGTTGCCGGTTCATCTTCCATTTCCGGTTCTTCCTGTTGCTCTTCCGCTTCTTCCTGTTGCTCTTCCGCTTCTTCCTGTTGCTCTTCCGCCTGTTCATCTTCCTCCACCTCTTGCACCTGTTCTGAATCGTTAGAATCCATATCCATGTCCGCCGAACCGGTTTCTGCTCCACCCGTGGCACCATTCTCCGCCGAAAGTGCTTCCTAAATCAATATAATAATTTTCGTTTTACTTAAACATAATACCCGGGAACAAAATAAGATACCCTTAAGACTGTGGAATAGATTCAAGTTCAGATCCTATATAGTCCAAGTCGTAAATCACAACATTGTTCAATATACAAAGACCCATTTAAGTTTGTCCTAGTGAACGCTTAAGTATTTTCAGGGTTATGTTAGGACAATTTCTGGACCGAGCGCTGCGACTAGAACAGACTAAAGGACCGAGCGCTGCGACTAGAACAGACTAAGGCACCGAAGGCTGCAGCTAAAACAGGCTAAAGGGCTGAGCGGTACAAAATTGATAGAAGGGGGTCATTCAAGCGTTTACAATTCTTAAAAGTTGGGTCTGTCCTAGCGTTTAATTATAGGGGTCTGGATAGGAATATACCAATTATAGGTACAATTAGAATAATAAAAAAACAGCTACGAGAGGCTATGGCCAAATTTAAACACACGTTGAATGAAAAACTAATTTTCACCTGTAATCTATCAATCAGGAATGGTTTGGTTCCCTTGGTGTCTAGCCCCCGCTTCTCCAACTCTTCGCGAAGATCCGCAACTTTCATCTTTTCAAGATTCGAGTCCAACATTTTTATCGTAACGTTAGTAAAATCTTAATTCGACAAACCCTGAAATAGAAAATCGCAGAAAATGAAAATAAATAAATATTCGCAAATTGGAGACACTTGAAGGCTCGAAAACTGATGTAAATCGACTGATCGGCTAGATAGAAACATTTTAAGCCATTAAGAGCAGTTCGAGCAGAATGCAAGCGGCAGCAGTGGGGTTTGGTTTGGTCGGAAGGTAGTCAATTATGGAATGCCCCGTAAAATAATTTTTACAAAGACGACATTTATACTTATACTTATCAAATTCTTTAAATTTAACCAACGATGGCGTCTCTTTCGACCTACGCAAATCCGCTATACTACACATCCGACCAACTAGCACGTGGGTTTCTTTGCTAGAAAGAAGGAAAGGTTGCAGGGAGAAAGAAGGTTGCAGGGAGAACTATTAGTGCAATGAACATTAGTGTACAATTATGAGCATTTCCAACAAAAAAAAGTTTTTAAACGGACTAATGTTTTTTTCTTTAAATAATTATGGGAAAAGTGGTGAAATCTTGAAATTTAGTTAGATTGAACATTTTTTTATTCATTTGCACTAAAATACGTTCATTTGTAGGGTAAATGTGCAATTATTGGTATTTTAGATTTTAGTTCGATATTGAACATTTCCCTGAATTCATAATTGTTGTAAAAAAAAAGGTTAACTGCACCATAATTATAATTATGGTAAAATGGTGAATTTAAAATATTAGTTTTAGATTTTTGTTCGATTGAACATTTTTTGTTCAATCTGCACTAAAATTTGTTAAAATTTGTACTTTAATTATATGGTAAATGTGTAAAATGGTAAAATT